CTTTTTTTGGTTCTGCTTCCTTAAAAAAAAACGATCAATGGTCCGATTTTATTCGATGTGCACCCTCCCAGTAAAAGTTCTAGTTACGGCTCTGGAGGGTATTAACACTGGTGTAATGTCAATTGATGACAAGATAATTGCATCGGAACTGAAAATTATACATTTATTATATGCTTTCCGTAGGAAGTGCAAGAAAATAGCGAAGAAATGGCATACCTACAGCGGCAGGTGGCTGCATTAACCTACCAAGTTCGACAACAACAACAAAAAATCACGGAACTAAAATACAGAGCGTCGACTCCACCTAACACTTCAAGATCTACGGTACGAATCTTACACTATTCTTTTCAGTGAGAATACCGTGGATCAGAATGAAATAAAGAAATTACGAATCAACTTTGTTCGTAGAGGATGCATTTGACGACAGTAAAAGACCTCTTTACATTCGTTATTTGTTGTACACATTTCAGACCATGTGATGCCACTCTTGGGAGTTGATTCTGTAAATATGTTCGTCATAAAAGAACAATTCTCAAGAGAATGTCATGTGATCTTAAATGGGCAATTTGTATACGAAGCTAAAGAGTTCTATTCAACTGATAAACTCGTTGTCCTCTTTTTAACGTCTCTAGTTGACTAGGGACGGTACCGCCTTTAACGTGGTCATCCGAATCTGGATCGATTGTCACAATGCTCTTTTCAGTGGAAATAGACCTCTTGCATGTGACGTCAAAGAGGCTCATTTTGGAGGACAAAACAGAAGAATTCCAATCTCCTGAGAAATGGAAACCTATTGTTTTGTCCCCCAGATTGAGCTGCATTCCGAAGTGCTGCAAGCGTTCTATAGCGTGCATAGGTATTATGACCCTATTTGAATGGATTAACCATTTAAGCACGTCACCATCCAGAGCATGAAAACGTATCCTTCCCATTATGACTTGTTTTGGAGGCCAATTCACCGACGAGTAATTATTTTATTCCCTGTAGTAATATTTCATCAAGTCCGTCATATCTTGTTTTCATTTCAGTCACCTACGAATTTCAGTACGAAGAAAGATGCTGTGAAAGTTGATATCAGGTAAGTCGTGCAATTGCCCTATTTCACTATGACGTCACTGCTTGTTTGTGTGGGGGATAGAATCGCCAAATCCAATAGAAAATTCAACAAAATTTGCTCCTAGCGAAACAGTTTAATCTAAAATGGCCTGGTTTTCAGATATATAATGTGTTAATATGTACTAAAAAATATTCTGAGCGTTTGCTGGCTATTCTACTTCTCTTCGTGGATTGATACGAGTTTTAGAACAATTTTCGGTGAATTTGCGTTGATTTGACCCCCTCCCACGACCATGATCCTTTGCGTTTAAACAATAGATTGTTTTGATGTGACGTCATAGTGAAATAGGGCTATTCTGTGTTGTTAATTAAAGGCCCTGTTACCCATTTAAACTTCCAGCTGAAACTTGTGTTCAATGTCGTTACAAGACATGCTTCACGGGAGTGTTACACGGCGCAGTTATAGGCCGGTTGTGAAACTCTCGTCGCGAGAACGCTTAATGAAGAGTAGAACTGCTTTTTCCGCGTGCGACCAAAATTCGCGAACAATGAGTTTCAGGACGAAATTGCACCGTGTAATATAACACCCACATGAAACTTGTCTCGCAACGCCGTTGCACACAAGTTTCACCTAAAAGTTTCAACGAGAGATACATACTTGATAGAATGCTTTTTTTCGCAATTACGTTTTTTACTTTTGGGAGGTTAAGATCATACTGACTAGTTTTTGTTTCATTCAGAAACAGGCTGCGTGATGCGTTTGTTCGACATCTTGAGGAATCGTCCAAGGTAGGACCAAAACGGTCGAAACTACTTGCGTAAATATGCTGCCATTATATTTCACTGCCCCCACCCCCTCACCCCATTTGTTCCATTCTCTTCGCTTATATTCATTTTCTGCGGTACAAATTTATGTATTCCGCGATCAGAGTTTTAAATTCTGAATCATTCTAGCTAATTTGTTGAGCCTGTGGGACATAGCAACGGTAACTAAGGGGAAAGGGGACTACTGCGGAACCATGAGTTCAGTACCTTACGTCTTTCTTGTATTAACGCATTTGAAAGCATTCTTGTTAAACGACGGTTGCGGGCATCACATCCCTATACATCCCTGTACCTCGCATGCAGAGCCACGTGCTCAATTATATTCACGCTAGTAATTTGCATTTATTATGCTTACTGAGCATGCGCATGAAGGCATCCATGTAAGTTGAGTAAAGCATGCTCTCCCACGATCACGTGTAGATCATGAGAATGCCAATATATACTCACGTGCATTCGCATCATTTTCCATACAGAGCCACGTGCTGTTGAGCAAACACATTGAAAAGGCGGAATTCACCATCGGTGAAGCCCAGAAAGGTCTCAAATCAATATATATCGCTACCACATCACAAACCACAGCAAGTAAAGAGAGTCTCACAGAAGGTGTTGTTTTTTCACTTCACTAGCTGCACGTTTCACTCATTAATATCACGTTAAAACACGAGCACTTAAATGTCGCCATGCACATGAGCACTTTCACTTGTCTTCCTATCTCCACTCTCTAGCACAATCTCGTACCCCGAGAGCCTGCGTCTATTCTGGCCTGCGGAGAAGAACAAGGGCTTTGGCATAATCCTTTTTTTTTTTTTTTTGGCGCATGAGCAATTTGAAGTGAAATATAATCAATGAAAATCATGCTTTAAAACAGAGGTTTACTTACGATAARAATTAGAATTCGGCAACATATGTTTTTTTATTTTTGGCAAGTCTTTGAACGCATGCGCTCTTATACCGGAAGTCCAAGAAATCCTGGTCTCAAAAAATGGATTATGCCAGAGCCCTCGTCCTTTGCTGCAGGTCAGAAGAAACGCAGGCTCTGGTACTTTCACATATCCAGGTGATCTCGGGAAATGCGCGCAAAAGATTGTTGTAGTTGATCAGACAGTTCTAGTTTCAGTTGCATAAAGAGGTATCATTTCACGATAATTTTTTTCCAAGAATTGAAATCACAATGCATTTTGACTCGTATAGTTATTTATTACAAGCACGGGTAAAATTTTAAATGCATTGCTAGTCCAAGAAAGCAAAATTGAGAGTTATTTTCTCCGACTGCTGCTGCCACGTTTTCCCTGTTTTTCATGATCAATAGATTCGCTGGAACGCCTGATTAGATTTCTTCCTGCGCGCTGATTGGCTGTGGCTGTTTTTTGATGGGCTGTCAAAATGAGAACACCTGGGTTTTGTAACTGACAGGGCTTAAAGACGTATGCGCATGCGGCAAATTGTCCAAGGATACAAACATGGCCGTCGATGAAATTCGTATATCAAACACGTAAATTATTCACTCGTTAAATACAACACTAGACTCACATGTTGATTTTTACGGAGGGAGGAAAACCGTGGCACTTGGAGAAAAGTTTTCGTAGCAAGAAAGAGAACAAACACAACTTACATTGCGGTTCAGTGGAGAATTGAACCCGCGATACCAGGCATGAACTGCACAGCGGCGAGAGAGAGAGAGAGAGCTCCGTAGCAGCTGCGCATATCACCTATGCTTCCCTCTTCCATACATACACACACACATACCCCATCTTGGATTCTAATAACAATTAGAAGATGATTGATTGATTATTTGTTGTTCTTAAAAAATGACTAAAATTCACTGCACTAGGCTTGCACGTAACAGCTAGCTTCTACACAGCACAGATTGATAATTTAACTTTGCAAAATCACTTCAAAGTTCCTCTTGTTTTACTAGCGTATCTTCTCTCTGTTTCTGTTTGTAGTCGGCAAATCATCGGACAAAGCTCAACCTTCACCGAACTTACTCGGAACCCCTCGAACGCCCGAAGAAACCCGACGGCACTCGTGGACAGCCAACTCGATAGACAAGATTATAAAAACATGGAAAGACACTGCTAAATCGATTGAAAATCTTTCTAGCAGATCGACTAATGACGATAAAAAGTCAAGCCAACTACCTAAACCAAAGAGCTTAAAAAACCCGCCTCATATGGCATTTCTCTAGATATTTTAAATATCTATTTAAAAATTTGGGAATTGCATGGTAATCTGCCTATAAAGTCATTTTTTCGAGCCCTCGATTCTCAAAGTCAAAGTCTATGATTTTTTGAATTTTCACGCATGACAGGAGTTGAATTTTTCTTCTTTTTTTACGAGAATATTTTACAACTTCCTTTAATCTGCCTATTGGATTCACATTTTTCGAGCACTCGAATCTGAGATTAAGAATTTATGATTTTTGTGAATTTTCACACATAACAAAAGTTGACAATTTACCTTGGTTTTTGGCGGGAAAATGCGCGTGCGCGTCAAACCTTTGTAGGGACGGACCATTAGATAGTTGATGGGGGGTTGCGAAAATCCCACAAAAATAAATATCGAGCAAGCACTTTAACCTCAAAAAAATATCGTGCAACTTCTTCTGCTAGAAGAAAAATATCTAACTGTATGCAAAATAACGTGCAAGGGTTGAGCCAAAAAAATAAATATCATGCAACCAAAATTCCTGCAACCCCCCCATCATTTATCTAATGGTTCATCCCTAAAGGCATTTTTACACGGGCGATTTTTACCGCGATTCGAGGTCCGATGTTTGCGGCTAGTTTTAAAAATATAAGAACTTTTGTCTCATGCTTCAAAAGAGGCATTTGTCCAGGTATTCGGAATAAAACTTTACAAGATAGTCATTTACTATTCTTGAAAAACCACCTCAAATCACTGCAAAATTAGCCCGTTTCAACGGGTCTTACCTCGACTAGCTTCGATGGAAGAGCAACATGACACCAAACACTTAACTCTAACTTAATGCATAGCAAGTCACTCGCGCGGTATAAAAAATAAAAATAAAAGAAAGAGATGGTAATAGAATGCGACAAGTAAGATTATTTTTCCAAGACAAAAGACTTCAGAGCTGGATGCAACCCTTGTAGATAGATAGAGAGATGGTAATAGAATGCGACAAGTAATATTATTTTAAGACAAAGACTTCAGAGCTGGATGCATCCCTTGTAGATAGATAGAGAAAGAGATGGTAATAGAATGCGACAAGTAATATTATTTTAAGACAAAAGACTTCAGAGCTGGATGCAACCTTTGTAGATAGATATTTAAAAGTATTTGATATGAAATTGTAAGAATGTATTTGTACTGATTTACCGGCGAAGACTGTACAAATCTATAAAATAAAGTGCCAAGTTGATATTCAGAATTCAATTTTCCATGTTTTCTAGAGGAGCGAGGCAAAGGAAATTGTGACAAAAATCGCGCGGCCATTGAGACTTAGTTCTTAATTTTTACTTTGATCTTTTACTTTAATTTTAATTTTGATTTAATTTTCACTTTGATTACTTGTTATATTTCGCTTTCCAAAAATTGCGCATGCGCCAAAAATAGATTATGCAAGAGCCTCACTTCTTCTGGCCTGCGGCAAAGAACGAGGGCGCTCTGGCATAATCCATAGTTTTGGCGAAACTTCCCTAAAGTGAAATAAAATCAGTGAAAATCTTGCTTTAAAACAGAGTTCTGGGTTTACTTCCAACATATGTTTCTATTTTTGGCAAGGCTTTGAAACCATGCGCTCTTATACAGGAGGTCCAAGAAATTGTGCTACGACTACTACAATGACCTATTTTGCTAAACTAGAAGGTTTTTGCTTAACCTATGATGGTGTTAGAGAATTCAAAGGAAAACTTTGTTAACATTTGTCATAGCCCGAGAAGAATGACGAAGAAGAAACATACAAAATTAAGCTTCTATTGTCATTTTTACGCTCATTTACGGTAAAAAAGCCCAAAATTTGTTTTCCAATAGCCAAACTACGAGTACAAAATACTATCATAAAGAGCACAGTCTTCACTTTGAGTTCGTGGTCCAACTAAAACATCAGTTTCCCATGAACTGCTAGCTTTCTTCCAGCATCAAAGATCAAGATATTTTCAGTCTATCGGCTTTCAATTCGATTCCTAGACTGTCACAGTACAGATAGGTATAGTTCTCGTAGGCTCTATCTCTTGTGATGTAATTCAAAGTTATGGTCCGCGGTTTCTCTGGTTTTTCTCTATGCGTAAAAGTTCAGTTCTAAAGATTGGAGCCCAACTGATGTGATTGGTGCTCAACGTAAACCAATTAGATTTTAGATTTACGTACCTTGTACCTTACGTACATTAGACACATTCTCTCTGGAACTTGCTTGGATTGTTTTTTTTTTTTTTCTGTTTTGTTGTTGAAAAGTTTTAAATATCGATAGAAACATCATCGCCAATCACAATGAAAGGAGCCCAGTACATAGGTTTGCTATATACCTCACTATCTCGCATGTCTCTCATGGTCAATTGAAGGCTTTCACTTGCGCTTTTTCTTTCCTTCAAGTGTTTATAAAACAATGTCATGTAAGCGTAGCAGAATCTTCGATGGCCCATAACGATGCCACCAACTGCACGAGCACCTGACGCTAGAAAGGCACGACACATGCTAACTACTCCTTCAGCTCTGATTTTACCACGTCCACTGTGACAGCAGCTTAACACAACTAACTGTGCACTGACGTACTTTAGCCTGCTGTACATCAGCCATGGTCAGCATGTAATCTTCTTCATCTGGGATCTTTGTTGCTCTTACCTCAGGAGAAGGTGCAAGTACGATTGCAGCTTGTGACAAGCTACTATGTGCAGCAATATGAACCATAGATGCTCCTTCTTTTAGCTTTTCGATGACAACAGCCTTGGTCGCCTTTTCTCCGACCAGAGCTTCAACACCAAGAATATTAGCAATTGTTTCTGCTTCATGGCGGGCGTGTATCAAAGGGCTTATGTAGTTTTCCTTGCCATTTAGCATCACTCTTCCAATAAGAGGGTCCCCTATGATCAGTGCAACTGTTTTATAGTTAAGATGCGCTGGACGCTCTTGTAGAATCTTTAAAGTCCTAATGGAAGGTGCGAATCTAATTTTCTTTGTTTGTGACAAGTATTGTCTCGTCTTTGGATCCAGTAGGGCAGCAAATGGCACCCTGGCTATGGGACCATCAGTAATGATGGCGCATTACTTGTTTCAGTAATTTCTGATATAAGTCTCGCAGCATATTATTTAAGTTACTCTCATTTTCATCCCTCCAAGACTCTTCAAAAATGTTGCGTTCTGGTTTTGGTTGCAGCTCATCTTCAACGCACCCGACTCTTCGATCTTGACCATCCAAATACTCTGTCTCATCTAAGGATCTGTCTTCACATTTACCATGGCTGACGCACTTTCAATTCCAACAGCGCCTTCTCGACAATTTTACAATACTTAACATGCTGACTGAAGAAATGTAGGCCATCAGTGTCAACTACAAACGTGTGAAGTTCGTCAAGGACCACAGAATAAAACAGAATGGAGTAATTGATTTTCGACACAAGAGCTTTGACGACACTCAGATCCATTTCTTCCTCTTCCTTTCCTTCCCGCTTCRTCTTGTAGTCGACGGCCAAGCTACAACAAGCTATCAAGGAAGTCTTTCTTACTCTTAAAAGTAATATGCTACTATGCTACTATACAGTATCATTGGACAAAMGATTGGGCTGCCTGTGCTCGCACTGACGACAAAGAGGAGGGCGCTGGTAACTAGAAGAAGACATTCAAGATGGCGGCCGGAGTTTCACTAAATAAAAACATCTCTTCTGTCTGGCAAAAAATCCTTACTACAGTCAATAATGCCTTGGTATATATGGATAACCCTGCTGCTGAGATGTTACATTGGTCTGGGAATGTCAAAAATATGGTGGAAGCTGGGGCTTTGGCTATAATTGATTTGTCGTCGAAAAGGGTAAAGAGAGGGAAAAAGAGAATCACTGAAACACTGAAGAACGACATTCAACTAGAATAAGATTCATTATATATATGTACAGAGAAATGCTGTATTATGTAAAGAGGATGATTTTGGACGTTGTTCTTTGGTGCCGAAGTTTTTTAGTTTCGTTTTAAAACTAATTTGAAAATTAATTAAGCTTTCATTAACGTTAGAGAGTTTTGTTCGCAAATACACGTTTCATCTCCTCACACCGATTCATTAACCAATATGATAATTTATTAATTTAGTAAAGGTTTTGAAATGCATAAGATTACAAAATTCAAAGATATTAATTACACACGACCTTTCAGAGTCATCACGACCCGACGTCTTTTGTTACTTTAATAGAAAGAAGAGCAATAGAATTTATTAAGGTCCCATATCGTAGTTAGTACTATTTTCATAAACAAGCAAGCTTGCTAGCTGCGAGCTGCACGCTGAAATTTGGTTTTGTGCTGCCATCAATCAAAACTAATCAGTTAGTACCTTTTATATTTTTGACTGGCGGTAGTATAAAAACGCCCTATAACACTATGACGTCACATCAAAACAATCTATTGTTTTAGTGCTAAGGATCATGGTCGCCAGAGGGGGCAAAACAGCAGCAACGGGGAAAGGTGATAACAGATAAATGTTGTACTAAATATCCCGAACAAAAGAAAATTTCGCCTAATTTCCTATCATTCTTGCCCATGTAAACAAGCTGTGACGTCATAATGTTATAGGGCAATTCTGACAGGTTACTACTAAAGAGTTCACATTTTTTGAAAATGGTGTGGGTGAACTTTGACATTTGAAAAGTAGTTTGACAAGATTAATATTACTGAAAGTTAATTTGGGCTCAAAATATTTCTCCATAGTCTGGAAACGAATCAGAGACAAAAGCTGTGTTCATTGTAACATCAGTAGTACATGGACAAACCTTGAAAGACATAAGTACCATCATCCAAAGTAGTGACTTCCAACACTGTACATTGCTATGTACTGTTCCTGAGACTGTAAACTCTTTTGTAAAACATAATGATAATATGGAAGGATCGGTTTTTGGTGAGCTCTCTCTTAAAATGAGAGAATGGATGGGAAATCCTGTGAGTAATAATTTTACATTTGTCATTATACACGGAATGGTAATATGGTGAACAATTTGAATAACTACCATTTGACTAGCCTTGTGTTCAGGTGGAAACATAAAAGCGTTTTCACATGTATGAGAGGCTAGTAGGTCCAGAACAATAGTTAATAGTAAATTGGTTTATAAAATAACTGTTATAAATTTCGCGTTCTGGTTGGCTGTGAGCACATGCTTTATGAGAGCACATAGAACGAGTGCGCACTTTCAACTGCGTCATTCCTATAAAAATAATGGTTATTGTAATTTGTATTTATAAAAGAAATAAAATAAAACTTGCTTGCTGTGCTGTGTGAAGTTATAAATAATTTGGGGATTGACAGAACCCTCAAGAAGTGTTGAGTAGCACTCAGCTACGCGTAATGCTTCTCCTAACACTTCTCTTGTGTTCTGCCAACCCCCTCATGCTTAATAACTGCACACAGCACGCATGCACCTTTTCTATTTCTTCAGTATTAATTGATGAACGAATGGATGGACGGACAGACATTGGGATGTATAGATATAAATTTACTCATGTTATGTTATGCTATGTTTTCCGATTTCAGACCCTGCGTCATTCTCTTGAGAATAAGAATCTTTGTTTGAGTTGTATCCATATTCATGTGTCTTCTCATGTGTAACCATTCAACAAAGAAATGRTACTCTAGGGAATGACACGTGGTCTGAAAATGGGGATCATTTTGCCCATGCTGAAGAGTTGACTGACTAATGAAGGAGTGAGCTAGTGATTGTGTGTATGAGATTTAAAGCAATATTTTAACAAAAATTCATTATTTTTCTTTCAGTATTCCACTGTGGACATCCATCATGTGGCTCTCTTTGCATCACAACTTTATCCAGGGTTATTTTTTACTCCAGCTTTTGCTCATTTTTTCCCAATATTGCCCTGTGATACCTCAAGATTGCAAGGATTTCTTCGCTCTACAGTTGTAAGATTTATTCACAGAAATTCTTCAGTCTGTTGTATGTTTTTTTTTTGTGAATGTGATAAATCTTATTTATGTTTTGTTATTTATCTGTGTTTTAGGGAGATAAAAGCCATGTTTTCAATTGCTTGAGTGAAGTTGAGATGGGACTGCTACCACACAATCTTCAGGTCAAAATAAAGGTAAAATTGATCTCTTTTATTGGTATTCATTTGTGCTCTTGTCCATTAATGAGTTCTTATAATCATCCATCCATTATCATGTCCCATCGCATCTGTACCATTCATTCATTCATTCATCCATCCATCCATC